GTGTGTGTGTGTGTGTGTGTGTGTGTGTGTGTGTGTGTGTGTGTGTGTGTGTGTGTGTGTGTGTGTGTGTGTGTGTGTGTGTGTGTGTATGTGCTTATAGCCAACTACCTCTATAAAGAATGAACTTTTTCTTACAAAAAATTAACTCACTAACTAAATTTGGATACCTTTCCTAAGCATGTATCTGATGTATTCATTGTGTTGACCTTTTACTTGATATTTCTCTTAAGGATCTTTTTCCTTTGTCTGATGTTTCACTGTATTTGACACTTTTTGTATTCTTCTTCAGTTCTCTGTTAAGTCTTTTGATATAATCTCTTTTGTCTGAAAACGGCCTCTGTCTGACATCACTGTTTGTATCTAAAACTTTGGGACTGTGTCAATCCTTTATCAAACTATTGGCTTACATCTTTTGACTGCTTGAGTACACTGATTGACTTTATAAAAGATTGAATCTTTTACTATGATGTGTGTTCTTTCATTGCTCTTATTAGTTGTCTTTATAAAAGGTTGCATATTTTACTATGCTGAGTGTTCTTTCACTGCTCTTATTGGTTGACTTTATAAAAAGGTTGCATATTTTACTATGTTGAGTGTACTTTCATTGCTCTTCTACATTAGTAATCATATTACATATTTATCATGATGATTGTATGTTATGATATCTCATTGTATTTGTCTGCTTTTGCATCTTTAATATGTTGAATAAACTCTATGATCTTTCTACAGTTCTCATCATCAAAACAATACATGTTACCTGCAAAACAAGGTTCCACGTACCCTACTCTTTTTTGCTAGAGGAAAATTTGGACCCTTGGTAGAAGAGTTAGACGAGATGGTAGTAAAGGTAATAGCCTTCACAATTATCCCTGAACATCATTTTTCCTATTCTTGGTCACCCGAACCTGGAAGCCAGAAGGATCACTATGATGCACATGTTGAACCTTGCTCTATCGAGCTTTGACTTTTTCCATTATAGCTTTTTTCTCAGCCACTAAAAGGGGAGACATCCTTCCTATTAAAAATAGAAGAAAAAAATTTAATGAAAATTAACTAAAAAATAATAGAAGTAAACTCATAGGTGGAGCATTTTACCCAAAAAGCTCATCAACACAGGGTAATCCTCTTCATACATACACAAGTTTTGTACCCCAATGATGCAAAAATGCACTATGATGTTAAATACCTCCCTCCATATCTCACTCAAATAGGTCGGGTTATAGTCCATTATAGAAATAGAATCACTCGTCCATTAGATAGGAAAATTATAGGACCCATCCTCCTTGTAGATAACCTCGGGGAAGTGGAGCTATCTTTAACCCAGATGAATTTACTCGTCCAATTGTTGTAGTTTGAGGTATAAGAGGAAATGAGAGTTCTCCATGGGATGTAACTCACATAAATCCATCCACTAAGAGCCACATCTTTTGTATTGGAAAAAGAAGGGAAAAAAATCTTGATCGTACGAGTCATGTTGAGACCCTGCTAGAGAATCTTAAATCCTTGAATTGATGAACAACTATTTGAATGCAACTAAGAGAGGGAGAATTTGAGTATTCAGACAATGTCATATTGGAAGGGGGAAAGGGAATACCAACCTTGAAGTCATCAATAACCCTAACATAATAATAGAATAACCCATCCTTCACTCCAGGAGGCCAACACATGTAAACCATCTTTCCTCACATACAAGGCTCCAATATCACGTTAGTTTCACTTCTAGTCATCATCAATCCAAATTGAATCGAGGTTCAAGGCATCATCCTAGAAATAACTTTGGGAGAAGTGAACTCCATAATAATTTTAATGAACCTAAGGAAGAAGACATCAATTCAATGCCACTATTTCTAGTTAAGCTATCAAAAAGATTGAACATCTCCCTCTCCTTAAATTTCCAATCCACTTCCCTTTACCATGTTTTGAAGCTTGCAAGCATTGATTTCTCAACTCGTTCTTCTCTGAAATAGTTTAGGGTTCTATGGTTCTCCCGAATGCATCACACTCATGAATAAACACCACCGATAAAAAGCACAATAAGGTTAGAGTATTATATGAGACTACAAGCATGTTGAGAACTACATATGAATAAAACAAACAAGCATAAGTCGTAAAACAACTTTGTTGTAGCATGATGCAATTTGAAGTGGAAGAGTTTAACTATTAATAGACGCGAGTGACAGACACAAGAGTGGATACACTTTATGTTAGTACTCTAGATTTGTATAGGTTAATGATGATTATAAGTTCCCCGCAAGTCCAAAAGCATTTAGAAATCATTAAGGCTAACCAAAGCTACACACTAGGGAAAAAGGAAAAGTCACGAGGCATGGGGATAACCAAAAGACAAAATTTGGTCAAGGCCTCAGATGCAGATGTCTGAAATATAAAGTGAGCCTTCACATTCCCAAAAAAGTCACTACCTTTACGAGCCGGGTCTCTAACCTAAAAGATCTCGCCCTTCTAGACCTCATACTTGAGGAACAGTTCTTATAACAAAGTTCCTCTATAAGTGGCTAACATCTATGCTAGTGCATCTCAGTCGCTGTTGTTATTGTTGGTGACCTCGCTTACCATTGTGTAATGAGAAATGTCTAATGTTTAGGTATGGTTGTGTGACTAAGGTAAATTTACTGGGACCCATGATATGCATCACATTTACACATAAGGAACACCATAGACTAAATCTACTAGCAAGGCTTAATCAGATTCACAATCCTAGAGACGTGTAAAAAATTCAATCTTTCTTCTCTGTGAGCATCTTCTTTATATAGTAGTTCTGATTCAGTCTATATTAAAATCCCATAAAAACCATTTAAAGGGATTGTGGGCCAACATTATCAATTGTAGGCCAGGCCAACTAACAAATACCTACGGCCTAGCCTACAACAGACCAAGGCCAGGCCATACTTTTTTTAAGTAGAAAAGGCTTAGGCTTTTTTTATAAGCCTATTTAGTTAAATAGGCAAGGCCTAAGGCCATAAAAAAACATTTTAAGCCTATCAGGTCTGCCTATTTTAATAAATATGAATAAATTTATTATTTTTGATATTGTATTTTGTTCTTTATATTAAAATACAAAAGTAAAACTGAGTTATATTACAAAACTTGTGAAAATAACTTGCAAAAATCTTATGAATAATGTCATAAGTTTTTTTTCATAAGTTCTCTCAAAAAATAATCTCACAAAACTTATACTACTATGTAAGGTCAAATAAGTCAATGTAAACAAATATTTAGTCTCATAGTACTTTTGATTCTCTAGTACATTCAAATATTATTTGAATTGTGATTTACATATGTTCAAGCGAAATTGGTTTTTTAAGCAGACTAATAGGCTAATCAGACATTTGAAAAGGCCAGACTCAGGCCAAAAAATAAATCTATGATAAACCATAGTCCAGACTTAAGCTTTAAAATTTTTAGTATACTAAACTCAGACTTGACAAAGCCTAACTCGACCTAGCCTATTCTCACTCCAAATCCATGTTGGAACCTGACTCAATATACAAACATGTACATAATCTTTCAAGCATGCATGTTATATTCAAGAAAAGATGTTTCAAATTGTACATGGTCCCTGAAGTATGAGACCAATAAAAGCGAGATGTTTCAGGTGAAAAATTAGATTCTACAAAATCCAAAAAATATATCTTAGTCGCCATATTATTATTAACATATTATACAAAACTTGAGTTTAATTTTATCTTTGATTTTGCAACAAAACATTTGTTCCAATTTTTATGAACTACATAGATTTGTGCTGATACTTTAATGTTAACATTGTGTAAAATGACAATAAAAAAAGTGAAGTTAATATAAACTTGATTGAGAGTTTAGTGAAATTAAATTAAAAAACAGATAACCTAAAGGTTCAAATAAGGCAAAGATAAATGCACAAGTTAGGGGAAAAAGATTGTGAAAAAAAGGCAATTTTTAAAGTTATTTTTGACTTGATCTCATTCATTTGATTAATCCATTGGTCATGAGTGGTGCAACAATGAGAAGAAAAATACAAGATACTTAATGAGTAGGTGGGTTTCATTTGGAAGGGGGGTTTCATTTGGAATGTAATATTTAGAAGGGGTTACATTTGGAATAACTGATTAAAAAAATGATCGGTTCCTAAAAAATGACCATCTATAAAGAAGTTAATGAGTTATTAATGGTATTTATTTGTGCCATTAGTATTAATACTAATATCTATTTCCCCTTTTTTTTTACAGAAAAATATTACTTATCTGTTTTATCCTAGTTAGTTATAAAATACAAGTAATATTTAATTTAAAAATTTAGAAAAATTTTAAATTAACAATATAAATTTAAAAATATATAATAGATATATCATGATAATATAATATATTCTCTCCGTACTAAATTGAAAATCACTTTACAAAATAAAATTGTCTTAAATTATAAATCACTTTACAATTTTAATTATTACCATCTTTCATTTTGCAACATTAGTGATACTTTTAATAATATACCATTTTTCATTTATTTCTTTTTTTAATTATTTAAATTGTTGTGTAAAATAAAGGTCAATGGTGTAAATTCATATATAATTTCTATTTCTCATATAAAATTAACTATATTTTTATAATTTGTATAAAATATCTAAAATATTTTATAATTTGTATAAAATATCTAAAATATTTTGAAATTTGAAACAATGAAATGAAATGCATAGCACATTATTAATAATAATTATATATTATACCAATATTTGAATTCCTCCTTTAAAATTAAAACTTTATTAATGTTATTAATGTTTCACTCTTTATTAAAAAACATTACTTGATATTAAAGAAATATTAAATTTTTATAACGATTATATCTTTATGGTGTCCCTTAATATGAAACCAAGATATATTAAATTATAGTTATTATTAAAGAAGTTGCAAAAAAGTTATTAAGTATTTAAAATAAGAAATGCGCCTAAACTATTTAGTATTATATAAATAAAGGTTCATATACGTCTTGTAGATATTGTGCTTCTAGTCATGGCTTATTCAAACTCAAATGTTTTCAAATTCTCAATTATCTTAATTGTAATATTTGCATTTAAGATTAGAGACATCGCAACTTTTAGTATAAATCCTAGGGTTACTGTTACAATTAAGGATGTTATATCAGGATCGGTAAGACTAACTGTTCATTGTAAATCTAAAGATGACGATCTTGGATTTCATACACTGCAATCCGGGCAAATTTATAGGTTTTCATTCAAACCAAGTGCTATAATAACGATTAATACTTTATTCTTCTGCGCTTTTACATGGCCAGGAAGCCCCTATCGTCACTATCTTGACGTTTACGATCAAAAGAGAAACACTTGCACAAATTGCTATTGGTTAATTAGTCAACAAGGTGGTTGTTTGAATGGTCAATGTAGAGTTTGGCAACGTATTGAATCAATTGATGTAAAAAACAGTACTTCCAAGATGTAGTTTTTTATATAATTGAAATAATATAAAATCTCTCTAGTTCAACTTTTATCACTCTTTCCTATTTTAGTCCTATGTAGATTATTGTTGCATGGATATTTTAAGATTGAAAACTATAATATTTATCGAAAATTGATATTTTTATTATTATTATTATTATTATTATTATTATTATTATTATTATTATTATTATTATTATTATTAGTGTTAATTTATAAAAATTATATTATTATATCAATATATTTTTTATTAATATTATTTTCTTATTTAATTTTATCTTTTATTATTATCATTAAAATATTTATTATATATTTAAAAAAATTAATCAAATTTAATTATTGGTTTCAATACTTTTTAAACAAATCTTCTATAAATTGACATATAATTCTAAAATATGTATATTTTATTCTGTTGCACAAAAATAAACTATTAAAAAAGATAAATTAATGTGATCATTAAAAAAGATATGACTTTAATTATTTATGATTTTAATAGAACACTCAAGGAATGGTTAAAAAATTTGATTGAATTTAATTCTACATTTCTAGAATTTAACTCCTGATTACAATGTTCTTTGGTATTTCTACGTTATTCTTATAATAGAAGGGAGATATTTTTATTCTTTGTAGTACAAATTTTTGAGTTTTTTTTTCAAATGTTATATATTTATATACAATTTTTAAAATATTTAATAATTAACCAATTAATAAAATATTTTTTATTAAAAAATAAATTAATATAAAAATTGACCTACAAATAAAATAAGTATTTTTTATTAAAAACACTTAATCACATAATAATTATTTTTTATTTATTTAAAATCTGAAATCTAGAAAAGGGTACTTAATTTTAAAAAATAACTATCTAACATTAATATTTTCAAGATGAAGCATTACTTTGTTGAATATATCCGTATGCTCATTCAATACTTTGTCTTCATTCATCTTGAATGAACACAAATTCTATTTGAGGTAGAGATGATTGGCTAAAGACTAGATTAATGTAGCACAAGTATTTTAAGATTGAAAACTATAATATTTATCAAAAGATGATATTTTATTATTATTATTATTATTATTATTATTATTATTATTATTATTATTATTATTATTATTATTATTATTATTAACGTTAATTTATAAAAATTATATCATTATATCAATATATTTTCTATTAATATTATTTTCGTTTTTTTTTATTATTATCATTAAAATATTTATTATATAATAAAATATTAATCAAATTTAATTCTTGGTTTCTATATTTTTTAAACAAATCTTCGATAAATTGACATATAATTCTAAAACGTGTATATTTTATTCTGCTGCCCAAATTGAAAAAAAAAAAAAGATAAATTAGTGTGATCATTAAGAAAGATATGACTCTAATCATTTGTGATTTTAATAATTTATTTTTTCTCTTCGCACTCTGATTCCTACGAAAATGGTTGAAAATTTTGATTGAATTTAATTCTTCGTTTCTAGAATTTAATTCCTGATTTCAATAATTATGTTCTTTGGTATCCTTATGTTATTCTTTGTAGTAGAAGAGAGATATTTATTCTTTGTATTGAAAATTTTAAGATTTTTTTTTCAAATGTTATATATTTATATACAAATTTTTAAATATATAAAAATTAGCCAACCATAAAAATAATTTCTTATTAAAAAATAAATATGTATAGAAATTGACGTACTAATAAAATATTTTTTTATTAAAAAAACTTAATCACATAATACTTTTTTTTAAAAATCTAAAATGAAGAAAAGGCACTACTAAAAATATGACATTAGAGAAAAAGTCCTTACATCAGGTATAAAAATAAATGATGTAAAAAATATTTGTCAAAAGATTTTACATCAGACTTTTATTTCCCCTAATATAAAAAATATGTGATTTAGAGGAATATATAACAAGGTGACATTTTCGTAAATAAAATGAAAATTTTTATAAGGGATTTTACGCCGGTCCTTTAATATTCACCAATGTAAAAACTTCAATAATAAAATAATATAAACACGGTGGCAGTTTTATAAATAAGGTGCATTTTTGTAATAAAAAAAAAAGTGACCCTTACATTGGGTCATAACTAAAACGATGTAAAAGAGCGTTTTTGTAAAAAAAATGGCCCTTACATCGGGCCATAACTAAACTGATGTAAAAGACTGTTTATGTATAAAAAAAAGTGGCCCTTACATCGGGCCTTAAACCCAACCGATGTAAAAGAGTGACCCTTACATCGAGCCATAATTCCAACCGATGTAAAAAACCATCTCAATTTCACAAAATCCTATTGTAACTACTCATATGTTTATTTCACCCGCGCTTCATTTTTCGCTCTACTACCTCACACCCAACAACCCTCTGTCTTTGACCTTCTCCCTCCTCCTTTCACCATCGGACGTCCTAAACCCTTCTTCCCACGCCATCGCCGTCCTAAAGCCTATTTCTCCGTACTCCGCATCCGGACACGAACCGGTTTCGCATAGCCGCTCCTCCTCACCGTCAAAAGCAGTCGCACCTACGCTCCGTCTGAAAGCAGTCGCGCCTCCGTCTGTTCACACAACCGGTTTCACACAACCGCTCCTCCTAACCGTCCATACAGTCGCGCCTTTGCCTTCTTCCGTCTTTACACAGCCGCACCTCCGCCTCCACCACACCGTCTGGTTTTAGTCAGCCCCGCCTCCGTTATTCCGTGTCTCTCCATCTCCCTCCACCTCCGACGTCTTCCATTCGTTTTCGACAGGTTGGATTTTACATTACTGTTACTATTATCCATATTTATTACATTTTATCTAAAGGAATGAATATAAATTAGAACAAATTAAAATGTTGTTGTTAATCTTCCATGCTAACTACCAACAAAGTTTCAATCCTGCGACATCACATTATGTTACAAATTTTTATTTTTAAAAGAATCTCTTATGTTACAAATGTTGTCGTTCGTTTCATTGGGAAATTGATTAAATCACGAAGAAAATTATTACAAGGTAAGTTTGTCCTTTGTGACTTTTTTATAATATATTATATATCATGTATAAATAAATTATTACAAAAGCAATTTCCTATTTTATGTGGCTTTTATGGATTTTTTTTCTGAATTAGTGTTTTTGGGATTCATCAAATGGCAAATGGAAATAGAAAAAAATGCTACATGGCTTCATCCTAATGTAAGTGTGATGTATATTACAAATTTATATTTAATTTTATGTCAAGTATTCACTAATTATGTCATTTGTTTGTCTAGACAAGAAGACAACATAACTCTAATGATTGTGGATACTATGTGATAAAAAATATGTTGGATATTGTCTCTGCCAATATAACTGATTCTTGGATGTAGGTAATAAAAAAACTTTACTTTTATAGTTACTTTACGTTTTGCAACTTAATGTGAATTTTTAAAGAATAAGTCTATATTGTTATTTATGCATTGTAGGTATTTGATGACCCAACAAAATTAACACAAGATGATTTGTATGATTTGCGACTCCGTTGGGCAAAATGTTTCTTTGAGTTATATAAAAATTAAGCTTGAACTGGTGAATTATTTAGAATTGTCTATACATATCTGATTTGAGTTATTTGATTTTGGTGTTGTCTGCTGATGTTAATTGGTGTTATTATTTATTATTAACAGATGTGACTTTGGTGTTGTCTACGGAAGCTACAACTCATCTTCTTGTGGATTGCATGTTGGTATTTCAAGTGTATATATTTTTGTATAATTTCATTGTTTTTTTTTGTTTTAGTAATCCACCTTTTGTAAACTTCCTTATAATTTTGTACACTTCCTTATCCTAGATTAATACTTTTATAATTTAATGGTTCATTTTGAAGAATATATATGTGCATCCTAGATATTTGGTGCAATGAAAAATATTTGGTGATCTAAATGTGGTTGTGATGTTGGAAAAATATGAAAAATTAGGTGCAAATAAATAAATTCTGAGAATGCACCTGATTTAGTTAAATGTGTTTGTGATGTTGGAAAAATATGAAAAATTAGGTAAAAATAAATAATTTCCGAGAATGTGTTGCGACTGTTTTTTAAATCAAGAGTCGCCACTATTAGTTTTTATCCGAGGGAAGGGAACCTAACAGAAAACCCTAATTCGCGGACAGAGATTCTAGGTTTCAGACTCAATTAGACGAAAGGAAGGTGTTAGGCACATTTCATCCACCTTGTTCATAAGGATATTGAGCTCTAGGTTTAGGTTTGGGATAAACAGGGTTTTAAGTTTTAATTAGCAAGAGTTTAATTTTTTATAAGGGAAAGAGTTTGCTTTTTTTATAGGAGAACTCGCTACGATTTTTGATCGTATGCCTACATACCCTCTTAAGAGGAATCAGAGTCCCAATTCGTAGTTCGTATGGATTGGTGTTTTTTAGGGGTTTGTAAACATATTTTGATTCACTTTGCACTCGGTCGAGAGTAGTGATTGTGGAGATTTTTACTGAGTGTTTAGTAAGTCAAAACTAGTTTGAAACCCTTTTGCAAAAAGAAGTTGATTAGTTTAGTTTATTGCGAAAGTAGTTTTAAGATTTGTTGAGTAATTTTTAATCGTATTATTTGCGAAGATCTTGATTAATGCATGATTGAAAAAAATATTTAATGAAAATGTATAGAAAATAATACATGGATTTGTGAATAAAAATAAGTTATTTGCTAATACTATAATATCTATATAATAAATAATTATAATAATAGATAAAATATGATAATAAAAATTAATATTGATAATTATAAATAAAAAGGAAATAAATAATTAATAATGATAATGAGAATAAAAAATAATAAAAAATAAATAATAAAAAATAATATTAATTTTAAGTAAATGGGGGGGGGGGGGGGGGGGGTGTTTCTTTATTGATAAGTAAAATATGGTGTGCCAAATTTAGTTTAGGCTAGGCCCATTAATGCTGGCTGGATAGGAGGTACGTTTTCTTTTTTAAATTAGCAAATATTTGAAAAGGGGAGTGAATATCAGTGGGCTTAGGCC